ATTGTGACGTCACTTTAGCGCGTGTTTCACCATGTTTATTTCTACGCATGAGTATACACAAAAATGACTTTCAAATCAATTTCACAGTTGGCTTAGTAGAAAACACAGCAAATGTAAATATTGATGTATAAGAGACAATATTTATCAGTATCAATATTGTTTATTTAATATCAAAGTTTTTTGAATATGATTTTGGAAATAATGTGGATAGCTTCAGGATTTTACAACAGGGTTCACAGGAATAAGCATTAATTAGGTCACCTGAGTCATTCAGGTGACCTATTGCTATCTGCTTTTGTCTGCTGTCATCTTGCATGAACTTTTACACATTTTCAACTTCTTCTCAAGAACCATTGAGACAATTTCAATCAAACTTGCCACAAAGTATCCTTGGGTAAATGGGATTCAAATTTGTTCAAATGAAGGGCAGTGCTCCCTTCCAAGGGGAGCTAATCAAGAAAAGGCAAAAGTAGCATGGGGTCATTTGTAAATCTTTTTCTCAAGAACCACCGGGCAAGAAGAATGATTATGGAGTTCTTTTCAAACTGTAAAATGTATGTGTTATAAGATGAAGCCAATGCCAAGTGGGCCCAAAGTGGTCATAGCTTGAAAAAAACTCGTGATATTCAGGTGACCGTTAAGGCCCATGGGCTTCTTATTACATATTTGTACACTCTTGATACATGTTCACCTCCTCCTCCTCCCCCCCCCCATTTTTTTTTTACCATAAAACTGTTTAAAGATTTTGAAATCTAACATCTTTGTTCTTTGTTCTTACATTAAACATTCTTTTCTATTTTAACAAAGGTTTTTACTGACTTGTGTGAACTCTTGTTAGTCTTATCACATGGTTAGTTTTATATACTGTAGATTCCTAAATATACGCGAGGAATTTATTATCGCGTAATTACGTGAGAAGCCCACTCGCGAAATAAAATTACACGCTTTTATATTTATGGTGCTGAAATCAATGTAAAATCTCTTGATTAACCGTCCACTCACGAATTATTGTTCTCGTGATTTGACGTCAAAGAGCCATTTTGCGAAATTAAGTAGGCCTACTCACGAAAAATAAGAAATCTACAATATTACTTTGTTAACAAATCCAACTTCATAAATGTACCTTTCGCATATAGGTCAATTTCTAGAGTCGAAAAAAAAAGTTTCTTATTTAGAAATGGCAAAGCAGTAATGTATGTGTTTGTACATCACAGAAAATTGTGTCCTTTCTTATGTTTACAATTGGTTTTATAATTCCCTTGCAACAAAGTTGAACTGGAATATAGTAATGTTATTGTGCTTCTGAGTGTTAAATGGGTGAGTGAGTTCTTATGTAGAAGTAATAATTTATATCTAGATCAATGTGCTTTGTTATTGGGGATGTTCTACATTGCCTTATTAGTTAAGAATTTTTTGTTTGTTATGTCTTAATTATACATGCACATGTATATGGTTTTTTTTTCCCAGATGAATTTGAGGAAGCTCTAAACACTTCTCACTGAAGTATTCCAATTCTGTGGTAGCTTTATGCTGTTGAGTGATCTGCCCTTTAATGTAAAATGAAATAAACAAAAATATATAGTAAAAAAATGAAAATAGATAAACTTAATCTGTGCATCTTTATATGATACATTTTCCTCAAGTACAAAAATGTAAGTACCAAAAAAAAAAAACAAAACATTTTTCAATAATGTTTAGAGACCGATCACTTTGCTGTTGAAAGAGGGGTTGTAGGTGACGTACATTCCAAATTTGTAAAATAATGTATATATCTGTTTTCAAAACAAATATTTAGTTTTTAAAGAGTGGATTGATAGAATAACATTTAAGTATATAGATTTTCCATACATTATGTACATAGCAACACAATTCAGATACTGTTTTAGAAATTTTTATCATATATGCAAAAGCTACATACATTATTTGACATTTTATATTCATTAGTATAAATTGCTTGCATTGCTTCATTTGTATAAAATATATGAAATTAAGTGAACATGCATCATCAAAGATATCTCCATATTCTTTTACTTCTGAATGAGGATTATAATCATAAGTATATGTCTTATATTTAATAGGATCGGACTTTTCAATTTTTTTTGCTTTTTCCATGTCTTTCTTTAAAAGCTGGAACAATTTAATTGTTGTGGCTCTTTATTTTCTTAAAATTTATATTTGTACGTATGCACTGATTGCAATATTCTCCTAATGAATTTACAGAGCTTGCATGTGACAGATTATATTTTTAATCGGATTATTTTATATTGCTTTTGTAGATTTGACTGTTACTCTATAAGAGGTGCATTTTGACTGTTATACTATAAGACAATTCATGTATTCTTGTTCAGCAATAAACTTAATCATCTCAAATTCACATTTTGTCTTAATTTCTCCTTCATGATTTTAATCACCTGCAACATATACAAAAAAATTCTTCTTAGTTTCACATTCCATAGGTCTTGTTTGCTTTATAATGGTGTAGGAGAGAGAGGGGAGGCATAATTTGAGTTAATTTGAGTACAGTGTAGGAGGGTACGGGTATAATTAATCATTGAATAGGAAATGAAGATATATTATATTAAGAAACTTATAAGGATACTCGGAATTTTGCCTGGTACCGTATTCAATAATAAATATTTGTGTTAGTTATGCTCTTCCTTTAAGATTCTTTTCCTTCTGCAAAACACAATATTGGGACATCACAGTCAACCAAATAAAAGGAAATAAGATGTTACCATAACTTCTTACTTAAAAAAATATAATTTATAAAATATATAATCCTTCAACAAATTTTTGTGGTTCGACAAAAAATAAATGGTTCATGAGGAATAAATGTCATGGATGAAGTTGTTTAGTTATGAAATATTTAAACTTTTACAGATCGTTGGGGACATGAATTCAGGGGTCTCTTCGTATCACGAAATCCCCCCTCCCTAAGTACTCATTATAATCCTGCAGAAAATGTGTCTGCTAGATGTCCATGCATGAAAAAGAATGCATGTTAAATATAATACCAACTTGCCCCACTCTTGCCCTGAACCCTGTCATAATTTTTGCAATATTTGTAGACAATTTCATGCTAGCTTCCAAACAATGCATTCAGTTTTCCTTCAAAATATGCAGGAGTAGAGAAAATGATTTTCTAATCTTATGTTCCTTTTTACTGTATGACCATTTAGGCCCATCTTTGAGATAGAATCCCTGATCAAGGGTTAAAAAAAAAACTATTTAGATAGAGAGTTTCATGCTCTTCCTAACTACAGATTCATGTTTAGCTCATCTGAGTGGAAACCGCTTTTCCGATGACATTTTTTCCAGAGCAGTCTCCTGGGGGTATACAGTAGGCTAGAGCATATCATGATATATCATGATACACTGAGACTGTATCATGTTACATGTGAAAATATTTCACCATTAATATTTTAATAATTAGCTACCGCGCTTCATGAAATATGCCTACGTGACAAGTCTGTGTGATTTACACACCAATAACTCACACAAAACTTAAAAACATTCCTTAAATATTTTCCACAAAAAATTAACTTTCAGTCTTTGGTGGAGAAATCTTTAATCATTTTCAAACCAGGGAGATATTTGCAGACTTCAGACATCATATGTTAAATATGATGTCAAGAAAATGATGCAAATTCAATTTTTCAATGAATTTGAAAGAAAATTGTGTATTTTACAATATTTTGATTGGAAAATATGGTGCACGTCTGCTCAGACAATTTTTTTTATTATGCATTGAAGAATACGTTAATATTGTACCTGAGCAAGTGTTCGTCGTTTGTGCACATTTTAAGCGATTTTCAAAAACATACAGTATTACGGGGGCAGGAATATGCTTTTACCAAATATCGTTCTTTGGTTATTTTTAGTTTTGCCCATCCATATTCCTAATAGGCTCCACATCCACATAAAACTATTAATGAATGGCAGACAAAGACCAATCATAAAAGGTGACCCAATAATACACACTGAATAACCTTCAGATAAACAGCAGTGGCAAAGTGGCTAAGGGATTATACCAACTGAACAGCTCTCTCAGCAAATGGCTCAGGTGAGCTAAAACCATGTTCTCTACTTTATGGATGTTTTCTGTTTCATATATAATTTGCACCAATCCTTCTTCATCATTTCATGGTAATAAAGAAGTGTTTGAGAAAAGCATTTATTTGCAGAAATGTTAGTTTGATCAAATTACATCATACAACAGTGAATTTGCAGAGACAACAATTTTAATCAGAACTGCATTGCTTAATGGTAGCATACTTTTATCCCAATCGAAACTTCTCGGGCCTTTCCGACAAGCGGAAAAACAACCTCGAATGTGTTACGTAGGTGTCCATTACAACCCCCCTTTTCATAAACTTTGCAATAAATGGAAGGAGGCCTCTTATCTGTAGAGTTTGGAGCTTAACATTATTGAATGTAGAAATATCACCTAAAATATACTACAGGAGTGACTTCTCTGTCTTTCTAATGCTTTAATAAATAGGAAGCGACTCCATCTTGTATAAATTTTTAACATCCGGTGATGTTAATACATTCGAGGTTGTTTTTCCGACCTCTGACGGAAAGACCCCGAGATGATGCGATTGACTTTTATCCCTCATATAATGTCCAATTGAATATACATTGTAATTTCACTGATATCATTACACATGCTATTTTTCAATAAATTTCATAGACTAGTTTTGACTTAATGTTATGGTATAAAAGTTGAGGATTTACAAATTTTACCAAAATTTTGCTTTTTCAAGATTGTTCATTTAAACATTTTAAACAACTGTATCAGATTTACACATTTTGCAAACTAAGACTATACAATATACATATGAATGTATACAATGAAAATCAATCTATTGTTTAATCATACACTATAAATCAAAATACAAAAAATCAAAACAAAAACAAACATATAGCACAGCAGGGACCTACTGTAAGAGAGAAAGTCTTATTACTTAATCTTTCTAATTAAATTTTCTGAAAAGCTGTTTAAGCCATGTAACTTCCATCAGGGGTAACTTTAGCCCTGTTCTGAATGGCATCCAACACTTGGCTGATGTTGCCCTCTTTTTCCTCCAGGAGGCGCTGTAACCATCCTCCCTCATTATGGAAACCCATCCCCAGCATCTGCTGCAGGGCAGTGGCAATCTTGGGATCTGTAAGTAATGTTAGATTTTTGTTTTCAGTATCTAAACATAAATTTCCGTCATGCATTATTTAACCTGTAAAATGCAAAATCATTCCTTATTTTGTTGAAACCAATTTAGTGTATTTAGCAAATATTTTTAATTACCTGTCGGAGGATAGATCAACTGGGCAGGAGGAGGCTGCATGGGGGCAGTGGCCTGAGGGGGTGGAGTTCTCCCCGACCCATTACCATCCTCCAACAGGGTCCATGCCTCGAAGTCCTTGTTGACAGCCTCTGTAGTGTCTTTGTTGACGTCAGTGTCAGTCTTGTTCCCACTGCTGGTAGAAGGGCCATCAGTCTCTGGCTTGTCGGCATTGTCGGTGGCCATGGGAGTCGGTTCTTCTGGTGCTTTCTGGACCTCAGGCTCAGCCTCTGGTTTGTCAGAATCCATTTTCTCCTCCTGGTTTTCCTTCTTTCCACATTTCCCTTGACCACATTTCCAACCTTTTTTCCCCCTACATCCACTGCCTTGTCCACGGGCTGGGCGTCTCTTTCCACCGTGTTCCACATCCACTTGAACATCTATTCCTGAATGAGATATTCCAAAGTCATTTTTTTTAAGGTTTACCAGGTACTTGCACATTTTTGCTATAAAATCAGATTTTGTCCCCAAGGAACATAAAATTCCTGCTCCCTCCAATCAATGTTGATGACCTTTAGTTTACATATTATACACTATTTATGGCAAACACATAATGAATTCAAGCTTACAGCAAAGTCATTTTCATTTCCAGTAGTTTTTATAAACAAACTTATGTACTTAATTATTGGATTATAAAGGATTATGTTTAATCTGAATCCCATGTACTTTGCTCATGCAAAACATGTTTTACTGTAACATGAATTTGTAAACAGAAATGTATTGATGACTCACCAAATGGATCCAACATGTCAGCCACAGACTGACCAACAGATTGCAGGAATGCTTCAGGGTTGGTTTCATCTGGAGTGGGAGCCTCATATTCCTTCTGTCCATTCCATGGACAACCAGCATTCTGTCTGTTCTGTTGTCTTCTTGCCATTCTCTCCATCCAGCGGAAGAAATGTGGTGGTGCGCACTAAAATGAGGAGGCATCATCAATAAATGGTAATGTTGCTAACTCCGTACACATACAATCAAACTTTGTTACTTCACACTCGATGAAACCAAGAAAAAAACTTTGAAATATCCAAGGATTTGAGATATCGAGGGTAACATATACTGAAAGAATAAGTGGTTGGGATTTCCAAATCAGTTTGACATATCCATGGTATTAAGATATATCAGTGTTAAAGATACCGAAGTTTAACTGTACTTCTAATCATCATGGTAAACCAAAGAAAATTTTCTACTTTCACTGTATTACCAGTACCAGTGATTTTACTTTAACCTATTTTGCCATCTTACTTGAAATGCCAAATTAAAATTGCTAATTATCACTGAAAGGTAATTTCTTTGGGACACACTTACTGGTGGCCCTTGGCCTTGAGGTCCATGGGGTCCACAAGGTCCATGTCTTGGGGGCCCCCAGAAGGGGAAACCAAATCCTGACTGGACAGGGGTTTCATACATGATGAAGTTATGCTCAGAGTGAATACCCTTGGACTCGCAGGACTGACACAGGTCATAATCCGGACAGATGGTACATTTGTATCTCTTTCCAATCACTTTTCCATCGCAACCATCACAAATGATACCAGGGTGTTCCTGGGGTGGGACATTTCCACTTGGTCTGCCAGTGGATTGGGAAGCTATAAAAATAAGTTCACCTCTAAACATTTGTCTGGAATAATACGATTAAACTATATGAGTAAAAGACTTAAAATTCTTCAAACATGCAATTTTTCTAAATTAAATTTTACTACTATGTTACACATAATAATTTAAGCAAGGGCATACACTCCTTAGTAATATTTCTAAAATAAATCAATTTTGGTTTATAAATACTCACTAGGCTTAACATATACACGGAAAAGGCCATTCTCAACAAATCCCAAAGCCTCCAGAAGTTCCTCTCCAGTAGAAAAGGCAATCAAATCTCCATCCTCATCTAAAAATATTTAAATTTCCTTTCTCAAGTTTTCCTCAATATTGATTCTATATATAGCTGTTAATGTTATAAAACAGATGTCAAAATTTGGAACTAGACATTCTGCCAGAAGAATATAAGAAGATTATTTCCTTGTGATGAAGACTTGCACTAATTATATATTCAAATTGCAGATTTATTTTCTATATTATAGAATAAATAATTTATAATTTGAGATCAATTTTTCTGACTGAATACATAAAAATTCAGAGTTAGTTAAGGACGTAAGGGAGATCGATAAAATATGGAAACAAGGTAAAAAAAAATCGCCAGGTAACATTACACAGTTAATTTTGGGTTAAAATTTTAAAATTTGTAAAAATTCAAAATCTTACCTTTCCAATACAAGGAAAAATTGCCACGGGCAAGTCCTGGGAAAATGTCGGCAATTTTTTTCTGCAGGTAATCAAAACTGTTCGATACATCTGTCGGGACTGTGAAGCGCCTGATCTCGGCCTTCTCGTCTCCTCCTTTCATCAAAAAGGCTTTCACTGTCAACGACATCTTGAGTCGAGATTCTCTCGAAATCAGCGGATGACAACTGGTGTGTTCTCCACAACAGCTTCTTTGGACTTCCTTGAACGTCTTCCAATATTCTACTTAGCGGAATTTATTAAATATGGTGCGCGTTGAGCTTTATATAGGAGCCGTCAAAATCACAATATCACGATCATGTGACACTTTGCAACCAAAACATTTCGTCATGTCATAGCTATTTTTAGAACTCCGAGAAAGTTCCCTGCATATCAGCATGACGAGGGTCATTTTGGGAATTCCGTTTCCGCTACAGCTGCATATCATGAAACTTTCTTGTTCGGAATTTATTGAAAGTCTGTACATAAACTATTTTGACTGACACCCCCCCCCCCCCGAAAGAGAATTTGATTGATGCCAGAGACAAAGTATTTATGTTCTGTTGGTGCTACAGTGTAACCATGGTAACCCCCTACACAGAACAGAGTTTTAAGATATACATGTATATTTATTGCTTGTCATATTATTCTAGTGAAGAAAGTCAATTAAATATTCTGTCCTTTGTGAAGGTATGACACAATAAAATTGGTTCGAAAAAAGTATGCCTTGCAGTCCCATCCACAGGTGCTTGGGGACGGGACCCCCCCCCCTTCCCCCGTGTTCCGTACCCCAAGGGTTCTTTGACTTTTTTTAAATAAAATATTTTTTTAATGACAAATTCACAAAGTATTACAACTGAAAAATCCAAAATTTAACCAAAACTAGCCTTCTAAAAAAATTCACTTTCTCTGATACTAAAAGAGAACTCTTTAAAAAAAAAAGTCAAAGAACCCTTGGGGTACGGAACACGGTGGGAGTGGGTGTCAGAATCAAATGGTCGCCCCCCCTGACTGTCCATGTTAGGGCACTCACATTGGCACTTGCTGTCAGGCAAATTTCAATTATAGCAGTTAACGTAAGAAAAAAATTACCACAATATTTGACATCTTTAAGGACTAAACAAGACAATTACATGTGTACATACATAAAACTATGAGATACACCTCATGTGATGTGAACATCTAGATGTACATGTATATATATGCATTAGGTGTGTTGTTTCTGTCTGAAATGTTAGATTTTGCTTGGGAAATTACACCAGAACCACTAAATTGAAAACAGTATCAATTTATTTTAGGGAAGGGGGTATCCTCTCCAGACTCTCCCTCGTACCCCCCCCCCCCCAACTTAGTGACGACCCTGATTTCAGTCAAAAAGCACGAAAGGTTATTTACACGGGTTTGTGCATGGAAGGTGTTGATAAAGGAGGGGTTTTTCCCCACAATTTATTTTCAAAATCTTAAGGCAATTTGAAATATAAAATTTTAAAGTTTATTATTCAAATGTTTGAAAAAGATACCTGCGTGTTTGCTGGCTTTTTCAAATTATGTTGACATGCGCACCTATCAGCTAGATACATGAAAAAATACTTCATTCTTTCAGTACATTACGTAATGTGGTCATTTTTTTCACTTTCATCAATCACCGGTTGAAGGGTAAATTTTAAAATATTTACTTCTTCCTCAAATCTTTTGCATGCTTTTGTTCATGATTTGGCTGTATTATAATTGTTCATCACATCCCTTATAAATACGGAACCAAAATTTGGTTCATGAGACTAGATGGATTATGTACTTGTCTGGGTTTTCGAGAAAACCAGAGTGTTTCTGTGTCGATGTACAAGTCGTGACAATTTCAAATATTTTGGAAAAATTCCAGTCGAACATATGCCCTCTATATTTGTATTTAATTTGAAAAAAAAAATGAGTTCAAAGTAATATAAACATATGCAAATATTTCTAAAACAAGTTAAACAGTTGTCACTAGTATATATACGTATGATTTTAGCCAAACACAACAAATATAATTCCACTTTAATTTCCTATCGCTTTTCCTTTGTTGACAGTCTATTTACATGCATATATTGATAAAAATACATTTTATAATTTTCATCATGATTGCAAACTTATATAATAAGAGGAAATACTGGGATTTTTCAGCTATTAAAGCCTGCGTTCATCAATAAATAGGGAAACACTTCATTGATAGACACGGTCAACAAGATATCTATCAAGTTAGCAGGGTGAAATGGCGTGCTGGACGGTGAAGGCGCAGATGCTGGGAGGCGATGGAATGCCAGAAATACGGCGATTTTCGTGTTCGTCAGCCACTACCTTCCATCAACTGTACCAAAAGATAAAAGTCATGTTTCCTGAACTCCTCAACAGGCATTTTAGTCTTCATTGGAAAGGTGACATTTTTTTAATATAAAAGTTGTGCATGAGAGAGAGAGAGAGAGAGAGAGAGAGCAAAGGCCTTCAAAATACCCCGGTATGTCAGTGTGATGAAAGCTATGTGAAGTATACTAATGGAAACCATCATTTTTAAACCTCATATTAATTAGAGATTCGGTCAATATACGCAGTTAAAGAAACTTTATTACATTTACAATAGCGAAATACCATCATTTGTTTGTTGAATAAAATCGACATTTTCAATTTAAGGTGTTTAGATTTCCGAAGTGTGAAAATAACAACCGTAACCTTTTTCTATTTCTTTCACATGTATTATCAAATCACTTTTTTATATTGTAACGTTAGAATATTACCATATAATATTATAATTTTAAAGCGTCTAATGTTCAAACTTTTAAACTCATTGAGTTAGAACTTTATCTTCTGTTACTCTTATGAACTTACACTGCTCGATATTGTTTTGAATTTCAATTTAAAAAATCTAGAAACCGAAGAAAACGTAAAGAGTAATAAACAGAAAATTTAATGCTTCGCAGTCATGAAAAGATTTATTTTTAAAAAAATTAGAAAAAAAGATACCCATAATATATTAATTCCACATCCAAAAAATTAATGTCTCAATGTATTTGATAAATGTGAAATTAACTTTTGTGTACTTCAAAATCTTACTGGCAAGCGACACAGTAACAAAACTTGCAAATCTTAAAAACGATACACAATTTTTATTAGCTAGTTAGTTAAAACTGTCAAATCACAAAAATTATTATGTCAAGCTGTTAAGAACATTTTTTGATCTCTACAAAACTTGTGTCTTGCAATTAATCGTTGGAAATACATGTAACAGGCACGTAGTGTCGTTTTTTGAAAGGGAGGCGATATCTTTAATATCTTACCTGAAAAATCTTTGACAAGGAGAAAACAAATGTAAATTGTCCAAAATTCGAAAATCTTATTTTGCGCGCGCGTGTATGGGTGTGTGTTTGTGTGTCGGGGAGGGGGGGGGGGAGTGTTTGTAGTTTGTAGGTTCCAACTTTTTCCACAAACAAATTTATTAATACATTACCATGGAACGATTTGATTATATTGCAACAAAAAGGGGGGCTGCCCTTTCAATGAAAAATTTTCAGCAGTAAAAGGTTACGTTTGGAAAAAGTGGGGGGGGGGGAGGGGTCCCCACCCCCACCCCTTCCCGATACTACTTGACTGATTATTTAATAATATTCTAGTACAATTGCGACTTTACTACAAATATACGCATATGATATGAAATTATGGATTTAGAAACAGAATAGCAGGGAAGTATTTTTCAAATGAGAAAGGAAATCTTCCTATCATGAAACAACTAATTGTAATACAGGATATTTGTAATGGAATTCACAGATTATTTTGGTACTTCATGTAGCTAGATATGGCATTTGAAAATTACCAGCTCAAGTGGGAGAGAACACTTTACAGTCGTTGTGCTTAAAAACCAAACCGTGTTGGTAAGATTTTGTAATTAAGTGGGATGTAGTCCCTATGTCAAGGAGTCGCTGTACATATGCATATTCTTACAAATAATCCCGTGTATTTATTATACCTGCAATTTCCGAGGAATGTTTTGGGGTACATGGTTGTTATCCACGTCCGTCTGTCTGTCTGTACGTTCGTCACACTTCCTACTGTATTAGAAGCAACACATTATTCCTGTAATATGTAATATAATTGTATGTATTATGTAATTGGTTATATCATCTAAAATTGAAATAAGGTTTTGAAAATTCATATTCAACCTCATGGATCCCTTAGGGCAGAAAGAGGAGCTTTGTTTAACAAATTACCTCAGCAATGGTATACTCCTTTTAATATATGTATTAAGGAGGCTGGGGGGTCAACAAATTAACCATCAGATATAATTTAATTTTTTAGATATTATATCTTAAGCTGTCAACTATCATTTGGCAAACAAAAATTTCATATATTTTAGTTTTAAAATTTGATCATTTTTGTATATCTTTATTTGGAGCTCTTCTTCTAAAGGAGATCAATATAGTCTGAAAATGGCCACAACCACCCAGCCCTCTTAACCATATGATTATGGTCATGTCGAGTAAATGGACAGTTACAAATAATTATTATCACTCAAGTCCTAAATAATTCGAAATTAAATATTTCCTGAAAAACAAACCCTTGTTATTCAAGCAAAGTAAAATATAAAAAATTATATATATTAAAATATAATTTTATTTTTATGACTCCTGACACCAGATAGGGTATTATAGCTGTTATTCTTGAGTTTTAAGTTCCAATTGGTTTCTTCTCCAATCATACGCTTGGGGGGATATTCTTGGTTTCCGATTTCCGTAAACGTCTTTTAAGTATCTGACTTTGCAGCATTCGAAGATTTAAGCTGAAGTATGAAAACATTGGTATTGATTGCCTTCATTGTTGTTTATATATTTACCGCATTTCTTCTTTTATTTATTTTTTTATTTATTTATTTATCATATAGATGTATATATTTTATTTATTAGATGAAGATGGGGATTTTGTGTCCTTTTCCTCGGACGAAGAAATGTCGGAGTTTTCAAAGAATCTCGTTGACGGTTACTTGAAGATATTCGTGAAAGGTACAGCCCTGAAGTTAATTCATTTCACAATGGAATGGACTTTCTGGGTGTTTCTTTTAAAGCTAGATTTTGGTTTTTCATTCTTCAGTACACATTCCGTTCACCCAGAAGCCAAATTTTGGGCCAACTGGATCAAAGCTGTCTGAAGTTGAAAGAGTAGAATTTATGCAATATGTTGCTGCCGGCTTAAAGATATTTCTTGATTATATGACAACACTTGGTAGTATAAATATACATTTACTTTTTAAAAGCTTTATTTATACAAATATCCTTTAATATCTCTGGGAAATGTACATATAAAAACGACATTCATAGGAAAGAATGGCAGCAAAGTTTCAAGGAACGGTGGTCAAATGGAATCTGATGACGTCATATTCCACAGTACTCCTGGAAACGAAAGCGAAAAATCAAATGAAGCAGACTCTGAGGCTGCTGTCCAGGATCAAGATACTGATACTTTGGAGCGCAAACACGACTCAGGTTCTGAAAGCGAGGAGAAAGAAACAATGAAACAACAGACAGACCACAAATCATCATCACCAGAAGATACTCCTAAATCAAGTAAGCTTTTCGAACGTCACTTTATATGAAAAAGTTGCATTTCAAGAGTACTGGTAAATCTATAGTTCCATTAATTTAGGTAGTCTGGGGAGTGTAGATAAATTTTACATTATTCGATCATTTTGTAATTTATTTGCTTGATTTAGGTGGTCATATTGACGAGGCCATGCAGCAGTTGATATCCATGGGCTTCCACAATGAGGGCGGATGGCTCCTTCGTCTATTAGAAGAAAAAGATGGCCGAATTGATGACGTGTTGGAAGACATTTTTTCTGAGGAATATATTTCGAGTACACAAAATCTTTATAATCCTTTCTTTTGATCTACATGTATGTTGAACATTTTAAGAAACGCTTAACAATAGATATTTTTGGGGGGTATGCCCTACCCTTTCGAAAATGCCTAGCTTTTTCTGCTAGAGATAACTTTTTTGTTTGTTTGTTAAAACTTCATGTATGCATAACGCATGGCTGCAGGCGCCAATAAATCTTGTGCTTAAAGCACTACTTCACGGAATGATTTTGGGATTTACTGATACAAAAATATATGACCCCCTCCCCTTGTTTTGCCGTTACTTGATATATTTTGCCCCCCCCCCCCCATAATTCATAACTCATCCCATGCGAACTTTCTGATGAAAGAGCTTCAAAGGCAAACAGTGTAGAACAAGAATGGTCTATAGAACAGTTATATCTTATATATATATATATATATATATATATATATATATATATATATATATATATATATATATATATATATATATATATATATATATATTAGGGATGGCAATCGATTACAGAATTTCTAATCGGTTAACCTCAAGACGTTTCGACCGATTAATCGGTTAATCGTAATATTATACACATTTTTTGACATTCTATTTTTTCAAGTAGCTCTTTCATATACACAAGAAGACTGATATAAAGACGCTAGAAGTTAGGAATATTCTGTTTATTATCTCGATCAGGAAACATAATATGTACCTATCTTTTATTTCAATTTCAATAGACAAGAAAAATTATAAGAAAAACATGAATTTTGCCTGAGAAAACATACGCAGATAATTTTCCAGTGCACACACAAGTTCAATCTGCATTGACACCATAATCACAACTATGCCTGAACTTTCACTGTCCAATCTTTTTCTAATACTATAATTTAAAAGATAACGGCAAAAGAAAGGCAAACTAATTAGCTCTACGTTGTTTTATTGAATATCATTAAAGGATTACAGGATAGTCTGGTTAAACGATTTGATGTTTTTAAAATCAGTAATTAACTCACCACAAACTGACCAATTAGCCGCGATCTCAATCCAGAAAGCCATAATTACCTCCTGACAAGCTTTATTAGGTGTGTAAAAACCGTAAATGATCAACTCTTATGTGTTGAAGTTTCCTTTCTAAAAATGAATTTTAAGAAAATTGCGTTCAAATTTGAATATATTTTATTTTTTTCCGATTAACCGATTACGGATTTTCTAACCGAGTACCATCGTTTCGACCGATTAATCGATTAACCGGTTACAAATTGCCATCCCTAATATATATATATATATTCGAAATGATTGAAATGTTACATCTAACAAAATAATTCATTGCAAGAATGCTCAAAGGTTATAAAAATCAATTTACAATGCATTCCTTATTCTTCAGCAGAAGTCAAGTTACATTACTTTTAGATGTAATATGGTTTTTTAAAATAATTCTTCAAATCCCTTACACTGTCCTGTGTTACTTATTATTTACCAATCTTAAGTTTTTACTCGTCTAAACATTCACAGTGTTGGACTGAAATATGCTCTCCTATGGAGAAATATGCTCTCCTATGAAGAAATATGCTCTCCTACTTTCTATTTATAAATCAGAAACAAGGCGACAGAATCAGTATAGATCAGGACTGATGTGTACCGGTTGTTCGGACCACTTGTCTGATGAGGAAGTTTGGTACCGATGCCCCCTGCGTCCTGATGTCAATCTCTGCCAACATTGTATGGAACGAGGAGTCCATAAAATAAACAAGTGTTTTTGGGAAAATGAGGTATACTTGACCGAGCAACCTAATGATCTACTTAGTAAAAGGTTAAATGATTTAATTTTCACTGAAATTTTACATCTTTAAGTTGTAAGACCAGGTTATTATTGTATATATATACTCGCCTATAAGTCGGTGTTTTGGGAGTTAAACTTTGGTCCAAAACTCTATATCCGACTTATACGCGAGTTATAAAAAGATTGTTATTTTAGCAGGTCAATCCCTCTAATTTAAACTTAAAAAATACAACCGACTTATAGGCGAGTATATACGGTATACAAGTGAATGTATATGAATTTTTTTTAACCTAATTAACAAAAACGGAATGCTCTGCAAAAAGATTTCAATATTCTTAAGGTGAACCGAATCGCAGGGCAAAAAGGAATTGGAGATGGACAGAACATTTGTATCATGAGGCTATTTTCAGTTGAATTTAGTTATACATTGTATTTCAATTTAACAGAGTATTCCATTTAAAAAAGTTTTTCAACACTTGGGAAAACACTTTGATGAAGATGGCGACAGACACAGCAAAGAAAAGGATGAGAGTCGCAGTTATGAGGAAGAATTCATGAAAACATTTAGCTATGTTTTTAAGAACATTTCAAAAGTATTTCCAGGTACACCCTACTGAAATATATACCGGTACTAGATCGGGCTTTGTGAAATTTTGTCATCGCTGAAAATGCATTTAAATATTTATTTCTCAAGTCCACAATCTTTTTGTTTGATTGGTAAGCAATTTCAAATTATCAAGTGTAACTTCAAGGTTATAAAGTATAACATTGCAATCATTTTTTAAACCAACATGGCCACCTCAGTTTTAACCAAGGCAAATTTGAATTTCTTTTCTTTCTTTCTTTTTCTTTTTTTCTTTTTTTGTTGTTGTATTTTTGATAGGAATGTTTGTATCAAAACCGAAACCCGAAAACGCAAAACCAAAATCAAGAGAAACCCCTAGATCGTGTTCGAAACAAAAAGATGACGACTCGGAAGAAGTTAAAATGGAAACAACTGGAAATTCTGACGTAGATGTTGACGGGCCTGCAGCAGGGACAGACTCGTCCAAAAATGACGGACAGTGGACTTTTTTAGAGGACGACATTCTTCAAACTGAGCCCAAACAGGAACTGGAAGGTAAAACGGAAACGGAAACAAATGCTTGCCAAGCCGACAAACCACAGAAGGCTGAACAATCTCCGGGTTTTGAAATGATGGAGCCACCAAGTGGTAAGCTAAACTATGTATTCATGATCATCATGTTTGTAAGTTCAATTATTCTAAAAGCATAAAAATCTAGAGATCAAATATTCTATTTTGGGTACGTGTATTATAGTACAGTTTTAGAGGCCAGTAGATCAATATGGACATTCATGCTTTTATCCTTTATCTATATGAAATTTGATAATTTTGCATAAAATAACCATGTTGAAGTATTCTGAATTACAGGATGTACCAAATTCTAAAATAGAAAAAACACTAAAATAAATCTCATGGCTTTTTAAATTATGTGGGCTTAATACATGTACTATATATAAAAATACTATAAATGACTGTATGATATATAAGTGCTAAATTAAGTAAATATTGATATATATATAGATCCAATGATTGCCGAATCCCTAACGGAAATGATGTCAATGGGTTTCCACAATGATGGAGGATGGTTACAGTGTCTGCTGGAAGAGAAGGATGGTAACATCGAGAAGGTACTGGACATCATACAGAAGAGTGCCAAAGAAAACAAATAAATGGATTTCATATAAGATTATTTTATTTCTATCTGATTATCTCGGTATGATATAAGTGTGATAAGTTTGGATATTAAGGACTTTGTTTTAAAGTACAATGTATTACATGTATTTTGTTTGCTTTATCTGGTTCTTGTTTTTAATTCACGTTGTTTTTATTTTAAAATTTTGTTTTGTGTTTTGCTGTTGTTGTTTTGTTTTCATTTTTTTTTTTGGCATTTATTTAAAAAAAAAAAACATAATTATTTTCCTCCGTCTTTAAACTGAGAAAAAAAAACAATGAAAAATCATTTTAACCAGATCTATAGCTCTTGAATTTTTTTTTTTTTTTTTTTTTTTGCGTTTACGGTAATATTTTTCTTTTCCTCCGTCCTTCTATTTAAAAAAAGCTATGGACTCCATTTGTAAAAACTAAATCTAGTTCCTGGAATTTATTACATTTTATTGAAAGAAAAATATAATTATTATTGAACGCCTACGAAAAGCAGATACAAATCAGGAGAAAATATTTGATATATTGACACAAAACAATCTAGCTGCTAACATGATTTTAAACGGGTAAAGGTCTGTATTGATTCCGAAGGGGTACTGTAACCGTATATATATATATATATATATATATATATATATATATATATATATATATATATATATATATATATATATATATATATATGCATTGTATATACATGAGATCGTTTTGTTTCAATTTTTGTACATATCTATTATTTTGTATTCCGATCCTTAATAAGCCTGATATTTTTATATAAATATATATATGTTGTACAACAGTTTAAAATCACGCTCGGAAAAGATCACGATTTGCTCATACATGTATATATTTTGTTTTGTTTCGTTTAATTTGATTTTTTGTCTTATGATATTCATTGTGTTATTAATTTGTACTGTTTCTGAATATACCCGCTACATTGAATATCAATTTTAAAAAAATCCGAATATGTGTATATGTTAGGATATAATTTGATTTTATATTAACCTGTTGATATTATATCTATGTCCTTGCTAACGGTATTTATATCATTATTTCGTTACGGTTTGTGATTTAAAATACTCAGTTTTCTATTGACATAAGAGCGGGTTTCGTCTATATTGTGCACTTTAATTTTTATCATATGAAAAAGAAAAAAATGCGAACACTCGTATGTTCGTAAAAGCATTTATATTTTAAAGGGAAAATATTTATTTATAATCAGTGTATATAAAAAAAAAAGTTTATTATAAATGTTAAAAGCAAGAAAGAACGTCTTGGTTCAGTGTAAAAAGGGGTAACCATTGCTATTATTTTCTGTTCAGTTTCAAGAATGTGGTTACAGCAATTCCTGTGCGAATAAGTAAGCTCTTTGTGTAGTTGAAGTGATCTAGAAAATATTTGACTTTCTGATTATTGGCACCTCTTTAACACACACACACACACACACAACTTGTCAACTTAAAATAAAAAATATTGAATATGAGTCCGTTTTGTTATTTTAGTGTTGATCACTGTAGCACAGTTTAATATTGCGTCATCTTTTCTTGGTTATTGTAAAGAAAAAAATTAAGTACAACCACACTGCTTACACCAAACCACTGATCTGACCGACGTATTTCAAATCCAAGCGATCTAAAGGCCTGTACACCAAGCTTTGATTGGTTATATTTATATGGAAGTATCCTCAGGTAGATTCAACTTTGTTCAACTGACGACCACTGGTGTAGGTGGGCTATGATATACATAGGAATACAGGGGGAAAGATCTGCTGATAAAGAACAGTGTCATAGTGACATGTGAGCGTTATGGCCCATGGGCCTCTTGTTGTTATCACCTAATAAATCTACACAACCTTTTATCACTTTATATGAAATTATGAAGAAAATTTGAATGAAAAATGAAATTGTATTCGGCTATATGCTTATTCAGTTTACTTAAAATCTATTTAGTTGTTATTTTCATGATTTTTGAGAAAAAAAAGTATGAAGCAACTGTCCTTAAGTTCAATTAACATCAATAAAACCTTACAAATAAATGGATTCGATACGATATATCCTGGTGAGCTTGAGATAAAAGATACTACAGAGTCTGACACGTCTGTTTCATTTTTGGATATTTTACTTGAAAAAGACGTTAATGGTAATCTAACAACCAAGCTTTATGATAAACGTGATGACTTTAACTTTTCAATCGTCAACTTCCCTTATACTTATGCATATATACCTTCATCACCTGCATACGGGGTATATATCTCTCAGTTGATTCGATACGCAAGAGCATGCTCTACGTATGTACAATTTCTAATTATACAATAAAATGCTTTCTTTGGTTGTTAGTACGGGAATTAATGTCGCAGCTGTTGCAGAAAAAATACATAACCCGCGTAAGCGGGTTATGTGAATTTTTTCTGCAGTAGCTGCGACGTTAATTCCCGTACTAACAAACAAAGAAATACATTTTATTGTTTATATTTATATCTTATTTTAAAAAAAACATTCAAAGTAAATTAAATATGTTAAATATTGTATTATAGATGTGTATATCATTGTATGCATAATTGATGGAACAGCCGTTGCTTAAGAAATCTATGCAGGTGGCTTGCTTAGTGTTGTTTATGGACTGATTAACGGCAATGGTTTTTATAAGAAATAAAGGAAATAATATCAAGTGGATGTAAATATAGCGGGGTAAATTATTGACAAACAAGTTGATGAAACAAGAATATCAGCTGTCTCGTTTAGTCATCATTTCGTAAGTTCTTTGGTCGATACCATGACCTTACCAGCAAATACAATTTATCATTGAGTCAAATGCTGACTGACGTTTTTCATACTAATTGTTAGGCCATTATTTACACACTGAATTGTCGACGGATTTTTCCATTATTTCCCGATCATGACAAGGAGCACATGGCGGGTGTGACCGGTCGGCAGGGGATGCTCACTCTTCCATGGCACCTGATCCCACCTCTGATGTTTGGAGGTCCGTGTTTGCTCTGCTCCTATTTTGTATTGTTTAATGGACTTTTCAGCTTGAATACTATTCGTTATCTCCATATATATCATTCGGATTCCAAAATTCGGGGGGGGGGGGGGGGGGGTGAGTGTTAAATTCTAAGATATGAAACAGCTAAATCACCACATTTCCGAAAGATTAATAAAATCTTGTTTTAGTATAATGTTGACTTAAGAGTAAATAAAAAAGTAAAAAGTAATTTGTAAGTAAATTATTTTTTTTAACCAAAAATGTTGAACTTTTCGAGGTTCATTATTTTAAAAAAAAATTGTTGAGCATGCGCGATTTGCATGAACAATATTCGATGGTATGTTGCCTCATATCTATCATGTGTTGAACGGATTTTTGAACCAGAGATATAAATAATTTATGTCTCTGGTTGAATTATTAAAAAAAAAACAACCGTAAATGCATGTGTTGCCAAATTTTAATTTAGCTCGATCACTAGCAACTCGTATGTGTATAGCCATAGGACACAGGCCTTTGTATCGCTTTATTCCCACTTACCATAGGCACTCCCCTGCTTAATTGTTAGAAAATATATATCTACTATACTATAAACATAGTATAGTAGATATATATTTTTTAACAATTAAGCTGGGGGGTGCCTATGCCACTTACAAAAAAAATTGGGGTGTGAAAAAAAGATATATTTTTTACACCCCATTTTTGTAAGTCGGACTAAAGCGATCTAAAAAACCTGTGGTAAAGGATGGGCTTTTTTCAGTTAATCACTACATATCATAAAGATTAATAAAATCTTTTTTTTTTAGAATAATGTTGACAGTAAATGAAATACTTTAAAAAGTAATTTGCAAGTAAAATATTTTTTGTATGAAAAATGTTTAACAATTTAACATTTCGAGTTGTGTTATTTTCCAAAAAACAAAACAAAAAACAAAAACAAAAAAAATCTTAGACCCATGTGATCAACATGCGCAATTTGCATGAACAATATTGGATATGGTATGTTATTTATCACGTGTTGAGCAGACTGTTGAATCAGAGACATAAATAATTTATGTCTCTGGTTGAATTATTTAAAAAAGAAAAAGTACTTCTATTGTAAATTCATGTGTTGACAAGTTTTAATACTTGCTCACTCGTAACTCGTATATACAGAACGAGCTTTTTTCAATAGTATCTGATTTATTATTTTCGTCTTGTTGATATTTTGTTTGTTTCCCTTCCGGGGTCATTTTGAATAAATTATGCAAATTACAAAAACATGCCATGACGTAAAATCAGCCCATCTCTTTCGTTGTTTTGATTGGTTATCGGTCTGTGGTGTTACCGTACTACATCCAGCTCATTTAGACATGGAGAACGTGGATGGCTGGACGATTCCAGCCGCAGATAGTTTAGTTGACCATGGAAATGATTTTTTGACTGCTAACGATCTAAACAGTGCAGCTCTTGATGATATCGATGGTAAGTCCTGATGGAATTTCGCGTTTTTGAATAGAATAGCCATCCTGAAAAGTCAGTGCATCTGACACATTTTCTGTAGAAAACAACTTGTCAAATAAAGATGAATACATGTATTGTTTATTAAAATATACTAAAAGTTAAGATATTCAACTCTGAATTCGTAAATCGTCGATTTTTTATTACGTTTGTATTTGACAGTGTTGGGGGGGGGGGGGTGGGGTGGTTGTGGCGTGTGCGCTATGGCTGTTTGCAGAACTGTAGCTGTCTGGAACAGAAAATCCCATCTCTAGGCCTATGTCTTTCCGAGTTTTCTGTCCCGGAGAGTTACAGTTTTGCAGATATGTAGAAGTGAATAGGTAAGAAAGAGTCATTTCATGTTAGGCCAAGATGATGAAAGCATTTAACTACATGTTTAGATAGACTTATTTAAAAATGAATGTTCCTATGAAACTTGTGTTAGTTAGTTGGAAGTGTTTCTTAAATTTTAATTGCCGATAGACATGAGGCTTGCGAGTGTCTATTGACATTTAAAAAGTTGAGAAACAAAAGGGAGAAAACCGGTAATGAATGAGCACACATTATGGAACCATTTTCTCCCTTTACTAAAATTCTTCAAAATAGTTTGAGCATAATTGCTGCATGAAACACAGATATTACTTAAGCATGTGAATCCATGATAGGTGCTCTCTAACATGTAAGAGAACCCAAAAAAGAATCGTTGTGAGAGGGTGATGAAACACATCGGTAATTATAGAACGTGTAATTATGTGGTGTATATGTGCCAAGCTATTTTTTTCCATGTACAAAATATAAATAATATGTATTGGGGGTTGACTTTTGTCTTGTTTTACAGATATTGTCCAGTATATGTTATCTGACACAAGTTCAACCAAGAACGATTTGTTTGATGGCCAGCTGAATTTGTTAAAACCAGAGGCAGAGGGTTTTGTGGACAGCCATCCCTTGCAAGACCCAGTGAAACATGAATTGTCCTTTGATGAGCAGTTGGATTTGTCAAATCTGAACAGTAATAACTCAAGTGTGTTATTAAATGATGCAAACTTTAGTGCTGATAGTTTAAATGGATTAGAGGGCGTGGACTTGTTAGAGACAGTGGGAGGGGATACTCTCAAATCACCCCTTGTTAACATTTCGCATTTCAATAGTGCTCAGAATCTTCAACAGGCTGCATTAAAACTTCAGAAACAAGTCCAACTTGTTCAGCAGCAAAAACAGTTGTTGCTACTGCAACAACAGCAACAGCAGAAGCAGCAACAGAAGCAACAACAAGCCCAACTTTTACAACAGCAGTTAAGACTAATTCTGCAACAAGCAGCCACAAAGTCACCACCACCAGTTGTTGCACAGCCCCAGCCACAGGTTCAACAGCAACAAGTGAGCTTACAGCAACTGCAACAGGTAATGGATCAAAAGCCATTTTAAAATCATGAACAGACCAAGAAAATAATAAAATCAGCATGTAAACATGATGTAAAGTTTTATTAAGAATTTTGAAGATATGATGTTTGAACTGTGTCTTTTATTTCAGCTTTTACTACAGTCACAAGCTTTGAACCAGTCCGTTATATCTGCCATCCCTGCTTCAACATCATCATCACCAGCGACACAGACTGCACAAGTCATCAAAGCACAGAATGTCACCACACAGTCACAAGTGGTATCCTCGACACCTAACATTGTCACTTTGTCCTCCCTCTCTCCAACCACCTTGACCCCCCAACAAACTGTCACCACCACTGTTCCCCAGGTACAAACTGTTGTAACTAGTATTCCTATTCAGGTGGTGGACAGTGAAAAAGTTCCTATAAATCGCCTCAACAACCCCAATAAAGTGCCTAAGAAGGGAGAGAAGAGAACATCTCACAATGCCATCGAAAAGCGTTATCGATTAAGTATAAACGACAAAATCACAGAGCTAAAGGACTTGGTTGCAGGCACAGAAGCCAAGGTAACAAATCTTTTTTTGCAGCATCATATGCAGGTCTGAAAGAAAAGTTCTTAATTAAAGTCATGGCTTATTAGCTATTATTTATTGAAAGGTTCATATGGGGATCTGCATAAAGTTATGTTGAATACTATGCAATGCCCATTTTCACTTTCTTGCAATTTTTTTTTGTTACAGTTGAACAAATCTGCTATTTTAAAGAAAGCAATTGATTACATCAGATTCTTGGTTAATACCAACAACAGATTAAAGCAAGAGAACATGGCTCTTAAATTGGCTGCCTCAAAGCACTGTAGTAAGTATATAAATCAAGTCATCCATTTCAAATTTTTGCAGATGGACCTATGAATTATCCAATCCACAATTATATGCACAATGATTCTTTTTAAATTTTAGACATTGAGGATTTGTTGAAACAAACTCCACTAACACCCCCAAGTTCTGAGAAAGGATCCCCTATTCATCTAACTCAGTTTGGAAGTGATGGAGAATCACCACCTAATAGCCCCATGTATGAATCAGGTCAGTGAAATTGTGAAACATTTCAGATGAATTATATACAGATAGATACCCATATCAACCCGTTTCTATATTGTTTGTAATCTGTGTTTCATTATCTTGTAGATTCACAGTCCGATTCTAGTCTTTCTGGAGGAAATGTCATGAATACCATGCGAGATCAAACCAGGATGGTGTTATGTGTGTTCATGTTTGCAGTGTTGGCATTCAATCCATTTGGAGCCTTGATTGGTTCAAGTTCAAACAGTGATGGATACGCTGGCCAACATGCTGGCAGAACACTTAAGAATATCAATGGTAGGTACAATACCCTTTGGTTTCAGCCATGTTAATGATACTCAACTTTTGCATGTTTAACAAATATTATTTTTCAAGAAACTCCTGGAAAAGTTACTTTTGGTAATATTCACGTTAATTGATCTGACAAATGGTTCTTGTAGATGGAGAGACAAATGGTTGGTGGGACTGGATGTTCCCCACTCTTTTGATGTGGGTTCTTAATGGTGTCATCTGCATTGGTGTACTGATCAAACTTCTGGTCTTTGGAGAGCCTGTAGTGAAAAAGAATACAGAGGCAGCAGTGTCCTTTTACAGACACAAAACTCAGGCAGAGGCTCACCTTGAAAAGGTAGCACATTGTTAATTTTTGCCCTTACCATATTAATGTGAATGCTGTTTAATATAATTTGTAGGAGAGAGTTGTGTGACAATGACAGTTTGATTCATTTCACAGGGTAATTTTTCCTGGGCAACAGATCAGCTACGGAAATGCTTAGCTTGCTTGGGAAGACCTTTGCCAACTTCAAAACTTGAATTAGTATCTGGTCTCTCATGGAATTTTCTGAGACATCTACTACACCGACTTGTTGGGAAGTGGTTGTTTAAGCCCACGACAGTGTGCAGCAAAGACGATGCCAACACATCAGCCAAGAATGCAGCACTTGTTTATCATAAATTGAACCAACTTCATTTGTCAGGTAATTTTATGAATTGTTGAATTTTCATACAGTTGGAAAAGGTTAATATCATTACTTAACTCAAAATTAACTTCTTATGCTTAAAGAAAAAATTAACCATTTTTAGGTCATATTCCTGGTAGTCCTTGGTGGGGAGTGAATCTGAGTTTGAGTGCCATTAACATGGCCGAGGCTGCTGGAGAAGCCCTTCCTTTGACTCAGTTAGCCGAGATTTATGCCACATGTGCAATAAGAATCCAATCTACTTTACCATGGAAACTGAAATTCTTATCAGTAAGATATATCTTTGTCAAACATTCTTCTGTTAAAATATTTCAACGAGATCACATGGCAAAATTTTCTATTTTTTCAAGTTTAAAAAAAAATTGAGTTGTGCCCCTTTTCATACTTATAGAAAGACATTGTTATTATTCTTATTAATTAAAACAGTATTTTATGAAAGTGTTTGGAGTAACAATATATAAAGTTAAGTTATATTTAAGAGTACAAAAAAGTAAGAAGCGGTTGATAGCATCATTTTGTTATCTGACAAGAGAAGAGATAAACCTGCTTCCCCCCCCCCCCCCCCCCCAAAAAAAAAAAAATTTGAAATTTTTGGCTTGAGAAACAAATTTTTTTTTTAATTTTTGGACTAAAGGGTTCAGGTATCCAAACTATTGTTCAAGATAAAAAGGTACAGCTGCATGTAATCTCTTGTAGAAATACTTGCTGAGTTGTGCCAGAAAAGCTTGTTTAACAAGTGGAGACCGTCTACCTCCCAGTGTCCAGTGGCTTTCTCATCCAGAAGGTTACAGGTTTTTCGTCAGGGGGAAGTGGACTCTAGGAGGGAAGAATAGCCTCTTTACTACTCTAGGATGTGAAGGTATTTTAAAACAAATCTGTAGATGAGTTTGAAAGCTTTCTTATTGAATTTTCAAAGATGAGTAATGAAATAAAATTTTTGCCGTTGACTTTTCAGCTGATCCTTTGGAACATGTTGCTCAGATGTTTAGAGAATACATGCTGGAAAAGGCTCTGTTTTCACTAGGCAATCCAGCCAGAAATAAGGAGGGACCTACACAGTCTGCAGAGGTGTTATTGTACACACAGTTACTGACAGACAGTGCCACCTCCACAACCAAATCAGTCAACTTATCAGAAGGAGGCATTGGCACCACCGCAGGTAAATAATGTTGATAATGAAATTGATACAAAGGTCAAATTCTGTGTTTTAGGAGTATTGCACTTGACATGTGAATTGATCATGAGTGATTTGGTTTGATTACTGGGAATTTCAGGTGGTGATGAATTGGGTCAATGGTGGTCAGCTGTTGTTACGGTTGCTATCAACTGGTTAGTCGGAGATGAGGAAAATGCAGAAGCTCAGTACCCCATGTGTGACTCCTTCCCTCAGAAACTCCAACAGTCTGAGTATGTAGTGTCTCAAGTTTCGCAATATAACCTCGGCCAAATAATAGTTAAAACAAAAATGATAGTGCTAGCAAATTTATATCTTATTTTGCAGTGATCCTTTGCCAAAAGCCGTGCTGGTTGCTTATCGTGCCAGGAGAAACATGATGACAAATACTCATGGATATTCTCACTGTATCCGCCAGTGTGACAGAGCAGGTCGTCTGCTAAGAGAGAGTCTGAAGCTATCGTATTCCAAACAGAATGAACAAATTGTACAGGTAAGGCCATTCAACTATGTTTGTCTAGAGTTCTATTTCAGGTTACATTTGGACAAGAAGTGAATTGGTGTGGCCATAGTGCATTGTAGTTGCATTGCATTTAAATGAAGTGTGCAATGCATCTGCAAAGCAAATATGGAAATACCTTATGTCAACTGGTTACCAATCACATTAAAGGAGTTGGGATCTTTTAAACCTGTTTGTTAATTCTGTCAATTTTTTTTTTGTCCGGCATGTAGTAAAAATGATTAATTTTCTTTGTAGTTTCTTCAGCTTCTTGTTTGTGACTGGCTGTTGACTACAAGAACAGAGCTTTGGGAGAAGAGTTGTAAAGAGGAATCCACCACAGCTTCACAAACAGAAATGATAGCCTTCCAACAGGACCTGAACAGCTTGAGAAAACTGGCCCAAGTGCATAAAAACATTTTACCAAAAGTAAGTTAGATCAGTAACTTTTGAATCACACTGTATACGAGATCAAGTCTTGTGAGTTGATATGAAATATTATGAAAAGATGATTAAATTAAATCTTAAACGAGATGATTCCTGTTTTTAATCAGGTGTTCCTGCATGAAGCCACAGCTCGACTGATGGCAGGTGCTAGTCCCACCAGAACTCAGCAGCTCCTGGACAGAAGTATCAGAAGGCGACACCCAAGTAAAAATGATAAAGGTAATGCAGCTTTACAGGAGAATTTTTAATTTATAAAATTCATTAATTTTGCCTTTTAATTTCTGCAGTTAAGATTTCAATTTTATTGCTAGTGAATTAAAAGTAATTTGGTATCTAGTTACTTAAAAATATGATTGTATTGATTTGGTTTATAAAAATATGATTGTATTGATTTGGGTTACAGGAAGCACTGAGCACTCTGAGAGTGACACTCCAGATAGAGATCAGGCTAAAGCTTTAATGATGGCAGGCAAACACCTCCCAGAAAACATGCTGCCATGTAATGATGACAGAATAGCCTTGATATCTGAAGCCAGCAAAATGTACGAGTTCCTGGGTGACAAGAAATCCCTACAGAACTGTCGACAAATGATCATGCAGTTTGAGGACAAGGTGTCTCAAGCTACGGTGTTGTGTTAGTGAATGTAAACTGTGATACCTCCACTCCCCATTAGGATGAAAGGGTTATTTATTTGGTCAAAGATTTTGTGAAGAGTTTTGTGTATGAAGTGCTTTTGTTTCATATTTCATCATGATCATGAATTCATTGAGTATTTTTAATTAAAAAAAATACAAACTTGATTTAAATTGTTCATCTTATTTGCTGTATGGTATGGTATCTGATTTTAGATTTCTAATTCAGCAAGCCTTTGCAAACTTGAGTATTCCTCATTTCATTAGTAATTACTTCAACTTGAGTACAAATTTAAAACCAGATATTGCACCATATACTGAGGAACTGATTAATTATGGAAGTTTTGAAGGAAGCATTATTGGCATACATAGCCAGTGTTATATAATTTTCAACACTTGTGGGTGGAGAGCTGCAAATTTTAGAGCTATACTCGGCACTCGGGGGGTATTGAGCAGTGAGGGATCTTTATTGTGCCAGAACCTAATGCGACATGAGACATTGGTATATCTGGTCTCGTCTGAAGGACCGGTCTCCACTTAAGGATCAATTCCTTCCCCTGGGACTCTATAGCTAGAGCAAATGCCTGCGCCATGCTGGTGACCCCAAATGAGAAGTGATTTTTTAATCAGGGCTGATGGAGTTGGTGAATGGTTTCATATCCACATGGCCCTTGGATATTTTATCCTCCCTGAGTGATGGTCTATTGATTGAATTGATGAAAAGGCACAATTCTTCTAGACATGAACTGATTGGTGTAATATTGAATAACTCGATAAGCTCCATCAGTTAATAAGCTGAGCCAAAGACTTGAAGAGCTAATGCTATGGCCATTTGTGCTGTGTGGTGAATTTTTTAGAATATGGGCCATATCTCAAGAACCTTTTCACAGAGTATCCTTGACCCAAGGGCCCTCATTTTTAGCTCACCTGAGCTGAAAGCTCAAGTGAGCTTTAGTGATCACATTTTGTCTGTAGTCCCTCTGTCTGTCTAGCTGTCCGTCCGTCTGTAAACTTTTCACATTTTCGACTTCTTCTCCAGAACCACTGGGCCAATTTCAAGCAAACTTGCCACAAAGCATCCTTGGTTGAAGAGGGTTCAAGTTTGTTCAAATGAAAGGCCACGCCCTCTTCCAAGGGGAGACAATTAAGAACTGGTGAAAATTTGGTGTCATCTTTTAAAAATCTTCTCAAAAACCATTGGGCCAGAAAAGTTAAACTTATGTGACACTTTCATTACATAGTGTAGATTCAAGTTTGTTCAAATCATGACCACCGGGTGTAGGGTGGGGCCACAATGGGGGATATAAGTTTTACATAGGAATATATAAGAAAAATCTTCTCAAGAACAACAAAGCCACAATTAGTCATATTGATATGGAATCATCCTCAGGTAGTGTAGATTCAAGTTTGTTCAAATCATGACCCCCAGGGGTAGGATGGGGCCACAATGGGGGATAACCTAGGAATATATAGAAAAAATCTTTAAAACTCTTCTTCTCAAGAACAACAAAAGCACAATAAGTCATACTGATATGACTTGGTAGTGAAGATTCAAATTTGTTCAAATCATGACCCCCGGGGTTTGGGTGGGTCCACAATTGGGGATCAAAGTTTTTCATAAGAATATATAAGTAAAATCTTTAAAAATCTTCTTCTCAAGAACAACAAAGCCACAATTAGTCATATTGATTTGGAATCATCCTCAGGAAGTGTAGATTAAAGTTTGTTCAAATTGTGACCCCTGGGGTTAGGGTGGGGCCACAATGGGGGATCAAAGTTTTACATAGGAATATATTCATGTAGGTAAAATCTTTAAGAATCTTCTTCTCTAGAACAACAAAGCCACAATTAGTCATATTGATATGGAAGCATCCCCAGGTATTGTAGATTTAAGTTTGTTCAAGGCATCCTCCAGTGGTAGGGTGGGGCCATAATGGGGGATCAAAGTTTTGCAAAAGAACATATATAGGAAATATCTTTAAAAATCTTCTTCTCAAGAACAAAAGCCATGGTGAGTCATATTGATATGGAAGCATCCTCAGGTAGTGTAGATTCAAGTTTGTTCAAATCATGACAGGCGATCAAAGCTTTACATATGAATATATAGGAGAAGAAATCTGCTGACAAAGAACAACAGGGACATATTGACTCAGGTGAGCATTGTGGCCCATGGGCCTCTTGTTTATTAAGTCTAGGGATGTGACCCTTAAACAAGGGGAGATAATTAGGAAACTAAAAACAAAAGTACTGGATGCTAGAAAAATCTTCTCAAGAACCACTGGGCAGATTATCACTAAACTTATACACAAGGATGAGGATATGTTGTAAATTGAAATTATTCAAGGCATCACCCTGTCATGTGGCAAAGGCTGTGACCTCAAGGTCTCTTCAAAGTTGACCAAAAATTATGTTTTTGTTAAAATTTTATATTTTGCTTACTATAAGAACAAGGATCATCAAATCTTGTCAGTTGATGCATCTTAGGACCTTACATCGTTGACTCAAAAATATGTCATGGTGACCTACTTTAAGAATTTTACATGTATTCATTTTCAATCTGATTTTGATGCATATCTTGGACATTTTGAAACCTATGATCATCAAAACTTGTCAGTTTATGCATTTAGGGCCTTGAAGTGTATCAACAAAAAAAAATAGGTCACCATGACCTACTTTGTGATTTAAGGTCATTATTTCAGATACTGAGGGGTTTAGAATTCCCAAACCTTGTAAGTTGATACATCTTGGGGCCTTCAAACATATTTATCAAAAAGAAGGTCATAGTGATCTACATTATTAATTTTGTAGGCATTCATTTTCGAATTGTTTAAGACGCATATTTTGGACATTTTGAAGCCTATGATCATCAAACCTTGTCAGTTGATGCATCTTGGATCCTTGGAGTACGTATGTCAACTGAAAAGTAGGTCACCATGACCTACTTTTGGAATTTTATGGCTATATTAACATATTTTCAGATAATGATTGGCAAAGAGTCATCAAACTTTATCAGTTGAAGCATCTTGGGCTTTGGGAGTATGTCAACTGAAAAGTAGGTCACCTTGATCTACTTTTGAAATGTTACGGCTATATTTAAATATTTTTCAGGTACTTATTAGCTTGGAATCATTAAACTTTGTCAGTTGATGCATCTTGGGTCCTCAAATGTGTTAACTAAAAAGTAGGTCATAGTGACCTACTTTTGAAATTTTATGGCTATATTTCACTATTTCAGACTCTTATTGGCTTAGAATCATCAAACTTTGTCAGTTGATGTTTCTTGGGTCCTCAGAGTGTGTAAACTAAAAAGTAGGTCACTGTGACCTACTTTTGGAATTTTATGGCTATATTTCAATATTTTAGATAGTAAGGGGCTTCAAAACATCAAACTTTGTCAGTTAATTCTTTTTGGGGTCTCAGAGTGTGTTAACCAAAACGTAGGTCAAGTCTTTATCTAAATATATAGGAAACTAAGAGGCTTCAAATAGAATGATAGACTGCACAATTTATCAGAAAAGCTATTCAAGGCCCTATGGCATCAATGATAGCAATGTGCTATGTTGACCACCAAAAGGGCTAGGTAAATTAAATACATGGAGATTAACAGTAGATTTTATTAATTGTTTTCAGTTTAGTTTTGTTTTTTTAAATTCCTTTTGCTACCAGTGCATGAATGTTGTATCTTTTGGACTTGCACCCCCCCCCCCCCCCAAAAAAAAAAAAAAAGCGAAAGCAAACTCACTAGACATATAAACACTTATGAAGTTGTTGTAAAATTTAAACATAAAACTTCTAGGGTATTTTTGGAGACTTTGCACTCAAGTTCTGCTTCAAACGGGCGCATCGATTTGATCGGGTGTGAAATACGTTTATAGCGAACACACAAACGTCTGCATCACCTTGATCTGACATACGGCGCCAACTTGAAAACGGGCAAGGAGCAGAAGCTAAGAGGGAAAATGTTAAAACAGGTGATTTTTTCATTCATTGTGTAAACATCTTTAAAATATTCATCAGCACAGAATATTATCTGTTAACTTGTACATGTGCAGATATCTGTGAAAATTGTTTTTCCTTTGACAGAAGATTTGAAAACTTTTTCCTAAAAGAAAGTTCAACAAATCTTATATATTTTCCCTATTGTTATTTGAATGTACTCATACATCGTCTTAATAACTCGGCAGTTACATTATTACTATACATATATAAACACTTCTCAGTTCTTTTGCCATTTCATTTCATATTTATAATTTTCATAATTGATGCAATGATCACAAGATTCAGGTGGGTCTTTGACAACTCAATAGAGACAACTCACCGAAAAAATTTACAGACACAACAACTCATCAGTACGAAAACTGTAGATAACACAAGTTAGAGAATGGACATCTCATAGATGTGACAACACACTACACTCATTGAACAGTCTAGACTAGTTAGAATAATAATCTAACTGTGTCTCGGGACAGGCCCTCACTACAGTTAGAATGCCTCCCATATACCCGTAATGTAGCAGAAAATTGCAGAATTGCTCCGAAACGATTTTTGAGAAAATTAATAAAGTTGCATCGAAAATAACAGTCAAATTAATCATAACAAACCTTTTTGAGACTGTAAATACCTTTCATCTAAAAATTTAATCCATATAATGGAAGAATTCAACACTTTTTCACCACCGTTTTTTACTCGTTTCAAATTTACACACCGTGTTGACATTCGGAACTCTTGGGATTTTTCATAGTAAATGCACTGAGTTAGAGTTATCTCCCGTATTTTCTTTGCTACATTGAATACACGGAATGCATTCTATCGTTAAACTTGTCCATAGGACATTTATCATTTTAACGATAGAATATTCTATCTAAGTTTAGACAGACTCCCAGAAACAGAGTGGAGTGAACACCCAAAACAGTCATTGGTTCCATCGTGCATCGTACATGGCATATCTGATGTAAACAAACAATCATGGATTCTTGTAAGCTTTCTCTAAATGTATGGCCACATCATGGCTCTATTTAGTACATTGTGCCTTTATTTTAATTTTTGTTGAATAAATAAATATTAAATTATATTTATTATAAAATGTGACGTTTTTGGGATTATCCGGATTATTCTCTAGGAATCGGCCCCTAATAAATGACTGTGCACAACGTCACAAAATATTGTGG